TGCTTAATATATCAAAGTCACGCAGTTTTGGCGACAACAGTTCTGATAGTCATCGAGGCTTAAGACATTTCCATTGTTTTTTTTTCTTCCGTGCATGAGACCGCCCGCACTTTGCGTTTTCGAAGAAATCATTTGAGTTGTACATTATATAATAATAATAATAACTTTATTTTCTTTTCAATAATCATCAATAAGGAGATTGGAGTCCTAGTAAGTATAATATACCAATATCAGAGTAAATATTATGTGAAACTAAAAGCTGTAATATAATTTAGATATTAGGTGAAACTAATTATTACAAAGAATTCGATCAAAATGTATGTATCTATGTGTACTTACACATAGTAGATACACACGTCCATCCGTATACGTGCATGTGTACGCATAAGTATGCATGTTTCTTTGCAAGTGCAAGGTGTTACGTAATATTCTTTAACTTTACTTCTATTTGTACATAATCAATCGTTTTGTGATAATCAATAAAATTGATTGTTTGACATTGTTGACACAAAACGGAAATAAAATACAAAACATTTGTCTACATTTTTTTTCTGTTTTCTTCCTTCCCGTACATGGGAAGCTGAGGCCAAAGGGAAAAAAACTTTTACGTACTCCGTTGAGTGGGGTTTCTTTGGATAAGCTTTTTAAATGCAGTAAACAATGATAAGACACCAAGAATACCAAACCCTTCTTGAGATATTCCCTTTCAAAGACGTTTAAATAGAGTCCCCCTTGAACTTTTACATAATATGAGTAAAAGAAATAGAAAACAACATACCTCTCGTAACGTTACACAATTTATAATACAATTAATAAAGCGAAATTCGTAAAATAGCCTTTTTGGAAAACCAACGAAAAACATTTAAAAAAATAAAGAAGTTTTGGCTAACACTGAATATGTCTAAATTCTATCTGATATGAAACAAGATAAATTGTGATATTGATTTTTTGTCAAGTTACTCCACTAATTAGTTATAATTATTAAAGAAATTGTGGTTCGAACTTGACAGCTCCAATCACGGTCGAAGGATTTTTTTGTGTTCGGCCTTTATTACTAAATTATAACAAGATTTTTTTTAACATTTTTCTTTATGAATTTCTTTTAATTTGATTTCAATTTTTATTGTTATAAAATAGTGGCAAGCATAAGTCCAATTAAATCAAAATAAACTTGAAATAGATTTAGTCAGCAAGCTACATGGCAAAAGATGCTAGGGATGATTATGAGAACACGCTTTTGCTAGCTGGTTTTTATACCGGTATAGTGTTTTACCTTACTTTTTAGAAGTGGAAACTCATTATAGATATTTTTTTACTTTTAATTATATCTGCTTTATCCGCTCACGCGATTCATGCGTCCCTAGAAGCATACCATGACCTAGAGGTGCCGGTGATAATTTTATACCGATTTATCGGATATGGAAGTTATAACAGGTAAAAGAACTAATACTAATTGCTATTTATTATATTTATAATATTTTTTATTTTTAAAAACTTGTATTTAAACTGAATCCTTTTCTAATTTGCGAAACCAAATAGCCGCCATTTTGCGGCAGGATGAGCGCATCGCGTGAGCGGTTATATTATTATCTGGAGTCAATAGACACGGCTTTTTTACATGATAAAATATGTATGATATATATTAACATTAATTTTAAAAAGTTAGAAGATTATAATTAAAAAATATAAGGTGTTGTGTAAATATGAGAAAATATGTGTATGCGAGAGAGTGTGTTAGTGTGTGTGTGTATATGGTGTAAAGCGGCGCGGTTTCTTCTACGTAATCCTTCATTTTCCTGAACAGATGGCGACACTCGCTCCAACCAATTGTTGGGTTGAAGGCACCATCTCCTATACCAAATTAGATAAGCTTGAAGGAAATGGTTTCCTTTGATGTGTTTGGCTACACTTACAGCAATATAAAGTACGTAGTTGTAGATGTGTATTACATATAGTGGATGCGTCTTCGCAAAAACTACATGTACCGTTTTTAATTATGTAAAATTATTGGTATTAAATGGCAATCAATTAGCAACACTGTAGAAGCGATAATACACATAAGAAAAACAATAGAAATGAGAATTCCAGCACCAAAGCGCACGGCAACGCTTTTCTCTCAGGCGCGCAATGCACCTTTAAAATTAAAGTGACCTAATTTAAAAAATTAAGAAAATGAGTTAATAAGGTTGTTAATTGAAAGCTCGAATGGCACAAACTAAAGTCAAAGTCAAAGTCAAATAGTTTATTTGCGTGTTACAGTAAGACATATAAAATACAATTTAAGTTGGTTGGTTATTGTACAAGTATCATGTAACGCCCTGTAAGGGCATAGCAAATTTACAGAGGTATAAGTTTTTATAATAAATCACAAAATGTCAATTAATAAGATACATAATAAATTAAAATACATGCTTTCAATTAATTAACTAATAACAATAATGTCCGAAAATTTTAACTTCCACATATTTACTAACTATAAGCGTCTCTTTAATATGTTTGAAATTCCATTATAGCGTCGATATGTAAACGCGCAATATAGTGTTGAGTACGTATCTACAAAGATAACATGCCACCACCGTTCCTGGTGAAAGTTGGATTAGCAATAGAGCCGATTTTGTGTACTCCGAAAAGGTTTAATTTTTGTGTTGGGTCACTTTCATTCTAAAGGTGCGATATATCACGCTTGACTCCGCGTTGATAAATATCGCACGTTGAAATCAATAGCATCACTAAACTAAAAAGTCAACTTCCGGAAAGTGGCGTTAAGTTTTTGAAAATAAGTTTTGGAAAAGCAAGATTTCGATTTATTGATTGTATTATTTGAAACGCGCAATATATTTACATCGCTTTAAAAAAAAGGGAATAAATACTTTAAATGAAGAAAAATTAATTGGAATCGGGAATGAATGTATTTTTTTCAGATCTAATTGGATCTCTTTACAGTCAACCGTGACCATGGAACCTGTAAAGGCCCCGAAACGTCAGTTTGTTTAAAAAAAACAAATAAACTACGCGATTTAGATCCAAAACAAATAGACTCATTTCCTATGTGTAACAATCGCGAAAACCTAAGAAATCAATTTGATTAGACATAGTTTTAATTATGGTATTTGTTTATAAAATCCTAACAAAACATTGTTCTTCTGCATTGTATGTGAAAAAAACAACGCTCATCCAGTTTGTACAGAGTGCCATCACTCATGGATCCAAAACATAACGTTGGAATAAGTGGGCCGTGCTCTAATAAATCAGGATATGTTTGCGATGGGGTAACCATGGGATCATGAGTGTGATGAGACATTGTTTTTATTCTATTCTTCTTTACAATAATTAATCATCATCACCATACTATATTTATTGTTGGATAATACGTCTCATAATTTACAACCCCTTTGTTCTGTGTTCTGAACATTTTTTTATAATATCTAGTGACGGGAGGAACAAGTCGTGCGCCTTGATGGTAAGCTACATGCCTATCCATGACAGTTGCAGTGTCCTCAGAGCTTTAAATCGCAAAGATCTGAGGGGCACTGCCACTGCGCCCGTCACCCTGAGACATAAGTTGACAAGCCCAATGCATTTGCGATTTCACCACTTATATCTAATATTCATATTTTTTTATAAAAAAAACACTACTCGACTACTAGGACTCTAGGTCACCATAACATTTTATTTTCATTGAAATGAAGTGTTTCTAAAAATTTTTATTGAAATCGGGACGGGACGAATAAATCGTACGCCTGATGGTAAGCAATACGCCTATCCATAACAATTGCAGTGCCACTAAGAACTTTATACCTCAAAGATCTCAGGGGCACTGCCATTGCGCCCGTTACCCAGAGACATAAGTTGACAAGTCTCATATGCCTGTAATATCACCAGCACCCTTACCCTTCAAAACCGGAACGCAGTAATGCTGATATTACTGCTTGACGCCAGAAATCAAACTTGAATGGGACCACTATTGAGGTACCTCCTGTCCAAAAAAGAAGAATCTTCGAAATTCATTCAAAAATGTCGGAGTGACCGCATGTACACAAAAAAAATGGTTTCAGCAATTTTGTGTTAGAAGTTGGAGAAAATATGCAGTTCTCTGGCATTCAAGTCACCATTCAGATGGCAGTCAATTTTGTGACATTTACTTCTTTAACATGAGTTTACAATATTAATAGAGACCGCGTAAAGTACCTAGGTATTTGTACACAACATTCAATGACACTGAATTGTTAATTATAAAAAAGAATGTTTGTTTACGAAAATGATTGTCACCCTACCGTAGTATATTTGGTTCGTCTATGTCAGGTCCATTACCAAGCGCTTCCAATGGGTCGGCTATGGAAAAATATTCCTTTTCCGAGCCCCTCTTGTCCTACCCTCGTCCCTCATTGTCAACCGTATTGATTTTTAATGCCCTTTATGATCCGAATTATTGGGGGTGGTATTTTTGGAGTAAGTAATTAGGGTAAAATTGGATGTGTATAAAAAGGCACCCTTTTTAGGGCTTCATAAAAGAATGGATATCAGACTAACGGGATACGGTACCTAGTCGCTCGTATAGGATTTAATGGTAGCATGTTCTAAGTATTACGTGGGCAATAGATCTGACATGTGATTTAAGATTGTATGGTATGTGTAAGACTGCGCCAAGATTCTCGATCTCATGGTCAATAGGATTAAACAAAGATTTTCAAACGCATGGTCTCTTAAAGTGCACCAAGATTTCATGGTCATTATGACAGCGCTAAAATTCTCGGTCTCATGGTCATTAACACTGCGTCAAAATTTTCAATTGGATAGTCAATAAGTCCAAAGACTGTTATGAAGTTTCTTTTTAAATAAATAAGTGTTCATTTAAAAAAAAAATACCAATTTTTATAAAACTCCGTTTCTTGCTTCACGCGTAGTTAAGTAACTTTTTAAAGTTTGTCGAGAACGCAATTTTTTTGGTAAGGATAAATACACACAAACGTTCATAAAAATTACATATTTACTGTTTATAGAACTTCTACAGAAACTCAAAATAATAAATAGTCTTAAAACTAACAAATTGAGCACCATCACAATTAACAGATAAACATTAAAAGACACACTGAAAATATAAAAATATTTAAGTTACACGTACATCCATACTATCACTCTTGCTCCCGCTATGATAACCATAGATTATGGACTTCCACCTGCCACATTCACGTCATATCTCTCTCTTTCTTTCATTATTTATTTCAAACACGCCCGTTTACACTTGTTATTTTTGGGCTGGTCCATTTTAAGGACATCCTCAATGTAACTGAGATACGCCCAGATATAACTTTCCTCTCGTTTGAATTATAGCCTATAATGATTACTTAATGCTTTTATATATCAATCTGGTAAGACAAAAATGTGGGAAAACCGAGAACAACCGACTTAATTGACTTTTTTTATATATGTGGAATAAATAGATAATTTCTCTAAAAAATTTAAAATAAGTATATTTTTATAATTATGTCTAAAGTCCAAATTTCACAAAAAAAAAAAGTTCTTATGGCATGCTAACAGATGACGCCTAAGGACGCGTTCCCATTATTTCGTAACGGAATATCTATCGTTGGACGACTGTCGCGTCTCTAGCCTGTTCCTATATGACGACTATCTGTCGTGACTGCCGTGGACTTTTTTATCGTTGAAGGACATTCATGCCTAGCTGTTCCCACTGCATCGTGACGGCAATTTATCGTTTCACGGCAGCCGCCTTGTCGTTTGTAGATATGAGACAACGATAAATTAAACGTGACGACGATAGTACCCGCGATTATCTGTCTTCGCATTTTTATTGTAATGTTTTATTTATCTTCCGACAACTGTCATTCTAACACTTCCTTTTGTTTTGATAGTCTGTTGTCGTAACTTCAAAAAAGTCGTGAACGATATTTAATCGTGTTATGCAAATAATGTGAACTACTTCATTTAAATATACAAGCTTGGACAGTTTAAACTGCACCACTATCTGTCGTCACGTGACACGCAGGAACGCAGGAAGTGGGAACGCAGCCTAAAGTGATTCAGTAAACGTTCCATTTTACCATTTTTGGTTCCGGAAGCTAATGATTTCTAACACTCAATAGGTTTGAATCTTAACCAAACATCATCATCAATGACTCTAGTGAAATTATAATCAACCAATGCCAATTGAGATGGTGTCTTCCCCATTGCAATGTAGACATCAAACTTCTTCAGTAGACTGCTGGCCACGGTACGTATAATTTGCAGAGATAGCTCTTCACCTGAAATGAAAATAAAAATTGACAATTTTATGAAAACAATAAAAATATGGTTGCAGCATTGATCCCTGTGGTAGAAAACTTTCTGTGGTAGAAAGCTCACAGAAGGTACATAGTACAGACATACAATAAGAATGATTACCCAGTTAAAACTGTGAGTAATTCTGTAATGTTGTTGCATTTATCAGTCATAAGACCATATATGCATGTCATTTCAATGTCTAAATTAATTTCCATTTTAAAATGTGTTGGTTATCACAATTTTTGCCCCAATGATCGCAAGAGATCCGTTGCGATTTCGATTGTTTACACATTTCACCTGACCAGTTCAAAAAAAGGCTTGACCTTTAACAAGTATGCCGTTGATTCAAACTTTCACAATTTCTTTTGTTAACACATCATACATTTGGTTGCAGAAACAATAATAAATCTTGACTATCGTGCAGATATATTTGCTGTGTCACTCATGTTATCGACATGTGAATTTCACCTCTAATACTTCAGTGTTGGGAGTCTACTTTCAAATACAATGTTGCAATGGAGGAAAGTATGTCAAAAAGATGATAAAAAAGCTTTGTAAAAAATTTTTTAATTTTTTTTACTAACACGAATGACATATTTTAGTTATTATTTATTCGCGTTGTGAACAATTCGGGGTTTAGTAGAAATACGAGTCAAAACAGGTCTTAAGTTGTGGGTAGTTTTTTCTACGGTTCCGTAAACTATGTATTTCTTATGTTTTCGTCTGATTATACTTCAAAACCTCTTACGCGTTCCGTAATTTACTGTCATGAAATCAGTTGGAAAGACATCACTTCTTTTTTTATGAATTTGCACTCATTTATTTTAGATTCCACAATACAGCCTCTTCATATAAATTTAGTATCTTCCTTGTTTTAATGGGAAAAGCGACAAACGCCTGTATTGGCTCTAGTTTTGTTTGTCTCATAAAAAATAATACATACTTTTATTTCATCTTATTGATATGCATGTAAAACCAAATTAATGTAACAAATGAAATACAAAATTTACGTATTTGCAAATTAAAATTTATTTCATCCGATTGTGTAATATTTTGTGGAAAATTGCTGCAAATCCTTATCTTTGAGCGTACTTTAATAATATGGATTCATTATCACATTACTCACCTATGCACTTTCTTGGTCCCGCTCCAAAAGGCAGAAAAGTATATCCATGTACCGACGAATCTAAAAACCTTTCTGGTTTAAAATCTCCAGCTTCTTTAAAATAAATATTATCCCTGTGTAAAGCTTCAATTGGTACATTTACAGTAACGCCTTTGTCTATTAACATTTTACTGTCTAGAAATTTGTATGTCTTGACACATTTTCTTGTTATAACAGAGTATGGTGGGTGTAATCTTAAAGTTTCTTTAATAGCGGCATCTAAGTGTTCAGAAGAAATTCTAGCTCGTTTTTGTGCTTCGGGATTCTTAGCCAATTCGTAGAACAATGCAGTTAGTACATTGAGAATTGGTATATATCCTTCGGTAATAAATGAGGATAGAACACCAAAAGATAAATCATCAGGTTGTGTTTTTAGCTTCTTGATATTCTCTTTTTCATCCAACTTAAAAACTAATGACAGTTTCTTTGATAGTTGAGCATTTTGAAGAGTTTTCCTTATTTTATTTGTCGGTTGTCCAATTAAAGTGGAGAGTCCAAACAAAGTGTAAACGGATGGAAAGATGCTTTTTAAATAGCTCTTAAATCTATCTCTTAATGTTCGCTCTTGAACAGATTTCCTTAAATCCGTAATAATATTTTCGTCGACATCTTTAAGCAATAAATTTTTGAACACAATATCCAATACCTGTGCCAATAACTCTTGAACATTCACATCTCCATTTGTTCCTGACAAACATTCAAGTGAATCATCTTCAGATATTTTAAAATCCTCCAATATGGATACTAAACCGTGTCTCAATAAGGTCCACTTTTCTCCTTCAGCGTAAAACAGATTGTTTCTTAAGCAAACATCCCTCGATTTGTCCAAGTCGAGTCCTCTGCTTTTAAAGTTCTTGAAATTTGTCGACAGTACTTCCTTTACGATGTCTGGGCTTTTCACAGTTAAGTCAGGTATTCTACTTTTAACCGAACCAACAAAATCTTCCTTATAACTTTTGTATAGGGCATTGATTTCTTGAGTATTGCTTCTTAACCCGAGGATTCTATGGTAATCACCACCATAGAAAGGTACAGAAATTTTATAAGGCACGTGTCTGACGTACCAATAACTGAAGAATTTAGTGACATAGTCGAAGGTTAAGGCAGCTATAAGGCCGATTGCAACGGTGCAGTTGAGCCAGAAACTTTCGAAGAACATCGCGTTCGCGCTGTTCGGTGATGCGGGGAATACTGACAGCATGTTGCGTTTGCGACTGTAATATGGCTATTTGCCTAAACAGTTAGACATTTTTTTGCAATATTTGCGTTGAGAAAGATACAACAAGCCAATACTAAAGACGAACTACAACCATGTGAGCATTATGACGAATGTTGAATAATAATTTTATATAGTTATAAAATTATGCCAATATCATACCATAATCCCAATATATTGGCTATTTTACCGCCCTGATGTCTACTAGGGAATTTTTGTTTTATGTTATCATAGTTTATCGATTATTATAATGGAAGAAATAAGCGGGCTCATACTTAGAAACTTAAAGCTTTCTTGATGATTATTTTTGTAAGTGTTTTATATATTCGTGTTTTTCGTCCCAGTAAGTAAAAATCTGTTTCTTAAGTTTTTTACGCCACATCCTTACGCGTACTTGCATGATGAAGAAAGCTTACTGTAAATCAGAATCAACAAACTGTGAAAGACTAGGTCACTTAACGGTACGTTTAGCAAACTTTGTAACACTGTTAAAGGTTTATTTCTGAAATATTCGTTGTAAATATCGCTCGACAGGCTGTCGGAAGACATCTTATGAACATACGTTCCACGTATAAAAGATCTGATCGTAGTAAGATCGATTGAAACAAAAATCGTTCTCCAAACTTATTGCCAATGAACTTGAGTTTCTCCATTAAATTACTTTGAATGTGTTAATGTTGAGACGTCATTATTTTACTAATGTCTTTTTAAACTGCGGATCATAATAATACACGATTCTGTACCTTCACTGATTCATCTACGCTACTTACTATCTGCGTGACAGTCGATTATGGATAACTTACGCTGCCGGGTACGGATCTTCACATTAAGAGCAATTTTGTTGGGTAGAGGCAGTATTAATAGAGGTAATAAGCTTCGCTCACATGCATAATATCTTTCACAACTTAAATACAGCACATAATTAGCCATTATTATGCTACCAAACCGAAATCATACTCAAAGAAAAATAATTAACCGCCATCTTGAGGACTGTGTCCGTACTTCTTTAGCGCATGTTTTGTCCTAAATGACAATGTTTACCGAACAGCGCTATCTAGTCACTCATCTTAGTATTACTACGTAGTTCATAGTAGACTCGATGTCGCCGCTTAGGTTTGATCTTAGTAGTACGTCGTCGCGTAAATAGATGGCGCTATGTACTATTTGTTCTAATACCCGGTAGATGTATGTCTTATTAATGCTTTTTTAACATTTCAAGATGAGTACCATACTATGCTCTGAACTTAGAAATAACAAATAACTCAAAACTTAATAATAACCGAACTCCAATTTAGTTATTTTAAATTCGCCTTTCTAAACTATAAAGGCAAAATGATAATGTCTAGGCAAAAACATTCCAACCCTTTACTGGTACCGTAATTTGTCACTGCGGGACGCGCGAACCTCTAATCAAACGACAAAACAACAAACAACAGTGCTCACGTGTACGTATTTTAAAAATAGAAACAAGAAAATTCAATCTCTATAATTTCTACACGCCTGAGTATCTCAGAACCAGTAGTTAAGGAAGATCTGCGCTAGGACAAATTAATCAGAAGTTGCAATACTGCCCACGCCCATGAACACAGGATGCCCTGCTAGAATGTACATTGAGCCATGGGTTTTCTATACTGACGCGCACTCACGCGCGCGCCTACGCACGCGCAACCATAGACTCACTTTGCAATATTTAAACTTCGAAAAGTAACAGAGTAGGTACATTTTGTTTTCTCCCTTCAGTTTGGTTAAAAATCATCCTTATTCCTAACATACACTTCGTAATATTGAAAGAAATTTTGTTATTAGATTTTAGTGACATATTTATTTTAGTTAACGATAAGTTCGTTTTTAATTTAAACAAATAAATATTGTATGTACTTTTACTACTGCAATAAACTGAAAAATCATGCGATTGTTTTTCTTATGTGACTTCCTTATGTTTATCTATTATCTGTGTTTGTTTATTTTAGGTACAGTCCCATACTTTCTACATAAGTTTTGTTTATAGTGCCTATCAACCTCTTGGTTATGCGGGAAGGGCACTCGTACAGGGACCATCTAATTTAGGTCCTAACCCCGGATCAGCACGCTTGCAAGGACTTATTCCGGTTCTCTGTAAGGCTAGTGCCTTAATGGCGTCTCTCCAGTTTCCAAATTCCTACGCGGCCGGAGGGACCGGAAGATGTCCAGCTCATCCTCTACTAGCTCTCCCGGCTACTGCTGGAGATGCCAAGTGGCAGTGTCCTGCGACAATGTCCGGACATAACCACTGACTTGATATTATTATGATAGGTACAATGTAAAATATTAATGTAAAATATTAATAAAAAAGATCATCGTTAGCGCGTTTGCGATTGCATTGTTACCATAGTGATCTGTCACGCAGCGGTCCTGAGTTCGATTCCCGGGTGGAGAGAAATATTTGTAAGGCCTTCATTTATTACTTTCGTACTTTTGGGTGTAATTGTGGTTGTCTATATATGTGTCCACGGCACCCGCGATTCAGGGTTTCTCTAGTCCGGGACTATGAATGTATGCATAAAGAAATTTGCAAGTATACAAAAATCTAATGAGAAATGGCGAAATTAAATATTATTGTTAGTAACACTTAGCATAATTGGAATAAACGTTCTTGATATGTGGGATTTTTTTTAATTCTAAATAAATCCAAATGTCTTTATATTTCTAAGCGGAAAACGGGATATGTATTCGACATTATTTTTTATACTTCACAGGCAGACTTTATACCACCTGATGTAAAATAGAAAATGTAATCCAAACGTGAAGGAACCTAGTGCAGTGTTGATACAATTACTACCCTTGCCACGTCCACCCTGCATGCCTAAAAGACATTATAAACACACAATAAAAGATAGAGTGTTAAAAGTGCCTAATTATAGTTACCGGTCAAATCAGAGATAGTCAAAAGAAATTGTTTATTAAAAAAAATCGAATAGGGTAAGATAGCCCCGGTTTAATTGTTGACATCTTTAAAGATTATTAATCGCAATGTATTACGTGTGCCAGTGATTGAAATTAAGGCGTTAACAATAAAATTGTGTTCTTTACACCATACATAAGATTTTGATAGTATTCGTAATTAAATTTTTGCACTCGCATTATAAACCTGTCAACAAACATATATATTAAGGGACAGGAAATACGATCTCTTATTAAATTCCCACCCTGACTGTACAAGGCAGAACGTATTAATCAGTAGCAAATGCACGCCTTGGGGCTATACGTATGCAGATGTGCAATCACAGAGTTGTAGCTACTGTATTGAATATATTGCAATATAGAAATGATATATAGATTTTGTATCTGCATGTGGGTTACAGTTTTATAAATGCATATAATAGTATGAATAATTAAAACTTTTATACTAAAAAACGCCGACCGCTAAGGTTCGTGGAATCACATCTACTTGCAAAGTTTTAATGAAATCGGTTACCGGAAGATTTTTTATATTTATTTTATATAATGACGGGACGAACAAGTCGTGCGCCTGATGGTCGCCTACACGCCACTCCACAACAGCTGCAGTGTCACTCAGAGCTTTAAATCGCAAAGATTTGAGGGGCCGTCACTCTGAAACAAGTTGACAAGTCCCATATGCCTGTAATTTCAACAGCACCCTTACGCTTCAATACTGGTGTACACAGTAATGTTGACATTACTGCTTGGCGACAGAAATAGGTACCCTGGACGAACTCTTTCACATGGAGCTCCGGAATCCGGATCCATCCCGTTTGCCATCCTTAAAGGTTTAATATTTTCTTCAAATTAATTGGGACCAATACTGAGGTTACCCCCTTTCCGTTCAAGAATCAGTTCACAAACCGGAGTAAATGTGTAACATACCTACACACAAAAAAAAAATACAAAAAAAGCCATGGAATTGAGAACCTCCTCCTATTATGAAGTGAGTTAAAAATATTATTTTAAAGCATAGAACAGAGTACAGTCAATATATACCACGATAATTCTGAACGCGGTTGCATTGTCTGTAAGTTATCGTATTAATTATCATCAGCTTATGGCTAATGTGCTCTATTTCGTTCGTCGTCAGCTTATGGTATCCATCTGCTGACAGTGGTAACCTGTCACAAACTCGAATTTTTTTTTCCGAAATAATGTTTGTTCGAATTTTCATTACACCGAAAACCGAATTATAATGAAACCGTTGTTCTTTCAGGATATGTTGGATGTTTTTCGCAAAGACACGATTAGGTTCGGTTAGGTTAGGTTTAAAAGAGAAAACATTTTCCTCTCAAAATTATTGTCGAGGTTATGAAAATTCGAGCGAACGTTATTTCTGGAAAATGTCATTTCGCACTACTGATAAGTAACCACTGCAAGTGGCCTTTCGCAGATCTTCACTTTATCAGGCCAGAAGGTGTATTTTCACCAGAGCAGTAGCAGTAGAGCTCGTTGTGAAAAAGTTCGTCCAGGGAAGTACTGCCTCCTTACCTATTTGGCTTAGGTTCCATCTATATGTTGTGGATATTCCAAAGTTGCGCACGAAGCGTTACGCTTCCACATTTATATAGCGAACGGCTATGGAGAGCAATTCCCTGCCTGCTTGTTCTCTGAACGTTATAACTTGGGCTTTTTCATGGCGAGAGTGAATAGGCATTATTTAGGCGTACATGCTCCATCAGGTGCAGGCTGTAAAATTGTGGGACATACTAACTTAAAGCTCTGAGTGGCACTGCAACTGTTATGGACTGGTGTGTCGCCTACCACCAGGCACACTACTTGGTCCTCCTGTCACTTGGTTTTATAAAAAAGTATGTTCAGAACCTTTAACATAAATCAACTGATCCCTAAAAAAATCCAATCATACACTTATTGATCCCACCAATGACAAAAATAAATCATTCGGCACACTTCGTTCCATTCGCGACGTAATCAAAATAGAGATCGATTCGGGCACACAAAAGACCTAAAGATCACTTTTATCGA